TACTATATATAAGAAAAAAGCCCGAAAGCTGTCGGATCTTTTGGTATGTTTACATTGAACATCAAATGCAGTGATAAGTATAAATAGTGAATAAGACGAAAAAGGACTTTTTTAATTCCATGATGTCCATAATGTTGTAACATTTTTTATCTCGCATATATCTTGGCTTAGGTAAATGATAAAACCTTGAATTTTTTTTCGAAAGATGTGCCGTGAAAAACTCTACAAAACTTGTATAGACCAAATCCTATAGCGAACCGAAAATGTTCTCGAAATATTTTCTATATGATGGAGAGTGACACTGCCACCCATAAGTTGTTCATTTTGAGTATAAGAAAAATCATCAGAACAGATAAAATGGAATTCGATCGTATAGCTTTTGTAGAGCTTTTCACGGCACATTTTTGAAAAATAAAATTCAAGGTTTTATTATTTACCTAAGCTGCGATATATATGCGACATAAAAGAATGTTGCAAAATTATGGACACCCGGTTTCGATAATAAAAAAAAATGTTCTTTTTCTTCTAATACACTTCTTATATTTTAAACTGCATCTGATGTTCAACGTAAATATACTAAAAGATGCAGCGCATTCTGCACTGTCTTCCTATATATAGTAGGTTAATAGATAAAAACGTATAGTAATAAAAAACAAACAAATCGAAGGGTATAATTTTAATTTTCCTCGACTGTATATATACATATTGATCTAATTATATCTTCTTTAGTTCTACTGTCGTGCCTGAACGCGTACACATCCTCTTTTCTAGTATATTCAGCTACATTCGTTTTCTTTCTCTTTATTCATTTATCAATCATGTATGTCCTCTCTCGTATTCTCTAGTGAGTTCTCATCTCTTTATTACATTCTAGTGAATGCTTTCCCTTTCCACTATTTGAAATAATAACATATTGCATAAATGTGATCAGATAACATTTCCTCTCGTTCATAATAGGTTAGTGGTCGACTACTTTCACAATAGTGAACAAATAGGAAGTACATTTCTATTGAACCATCATTCAAATATATCGACAATAAAAAATGAGAAATACTCACAATGTCTTAACAGTATTATGAAACTTGAAATCAGATGAATTATCCAGTGATTCATCATCTTCAAGCAGTTCTAGAGTGCGTGTGTGAATATCAATGTTTCTATCCTCTATACCAAAACATTCTCGGTGGACGATAGCCATTCTCACCTACATCCTAGATTTTAACCAGCCACAAAATACGCCTGGTTCAAAAGAGGTTTTTTAAAATATCATGGGTGTTGGTTTTATATTTCCTAGCAGATAAATGTTACGAAAAAGAACTATTGATGGACTGATGATGCATTGTTCTTTGTTCAACAAATCTGTGCTTCATTCTGTTGTTTTTACTATCATGACCATTAGACAGATTCATCATTTCCTTAATCTTTTATTTCATTTTCACTTTCTATATCATCTTTATTTTCTTAATAAATGAAAATATAGCTAACATACTTCTGTTTTTATACAACAAGTAACAAGGAGTAGGATGAATTTGTCAAAAGAATCAGTTCCTGAAAATGTTCCTTTATTGAGATAAGTTATGACTCCAGCCAATGAGCAACACATGAACTCAAACGGAATGAATTAATTGATGAAGCTCATTCATTAGTGTTTTCTTTCTGAATTATACTTGTTATACTGATATTTCCCTATAGATTACAGTACACTAATAAGTCAAATGATGGTATTTTGATCTGATATTTTGCTCTCATATATGTTTCATAGTTATTAAAATATGCGCTACTGGCGTTGTTTTGATTTCGAAATGATTCGAAATTTTTGTCATTATAATATATTTGTAGCTGATAACATGTCATCAAAGAATCTGTAAGATAGAGATGATAGCAATTCTGATCATGTAGTAAGAGCCAATCCGTAGTGCGTATGTAAATCATATTAGTTGCGATGTCTGTTGTTTCTCAGTCACTGTGTGGGTCTCCAACATGTTCTCTAGTAAATGACAGAAAGTGCATGTTGAATAATCTGAATGGTGAATTTTCCAAGACTCGACGAGATTCAAATAAAAAGTATTGGTGCCCATCCAGATTTGACTATAACCATCCCACAATATCGATAAGAATATGATCAGAATCATATGAATCTGATACAATCCACTAACGACTGTTGAATCAAAGTAACTAATCCATCTTTATTTCTTTGTTCTTCTGTTACCTAGTCGCAAAATGTCAACTCAACTTCAAACCAATGACACCAAATCCAGTTGATTACAAGTCTGGTCCACGATCTGTCGCCATCGGTGACTTCAACAACGATACTTGGCTAGATATTGCTATTGCCAATAAAGCTGCTGACCATATAGCTATATATTTTGGATATGGCAATAGGACTGCGGCAAATCCAGTCACATATCCGACAGGTTCCGGCTCTGCTCCATACATGATCGCCGTTAATGATTTTAACAATGATGATCGGCTGGATATTGCAGTCGCAAACTTTGGCACAAACAACATCGGTATACTTCTTGGAACCGAAAATGGATCTTTTGCAAGCCAAAAAATGTTTTCAACTGCCTCCTCTCATCCTATTTGGATCCACGTAACTGATCTCAACAGTGACACAGCATTAGATATTATCACTGCAAACCACGGTACACACAGTGTAAGTATTTTTTACGGACATGGAAATGGAAGCTTTTCAAAACCAAGCACGTACTCTACGGGCTATGATTCTTTCCCGTTTGCGGTTGTCAGTGGTGATTTTAACAATGATCAACAGCTGGATCTTGCTATCGCCAATTACGGTACAAACAATGTTGGTATACTACTTGGAACTAGTAACAGTACTTTCGCCAATCAAATCACGTTTTCAACTGGTCCGAATTCCCATCCATACTCGCTTGCTGTTGGCCATTTAAACGACGACAATATACTAGATATTGCGGTCACCAACAATGGAAATAACAGTGTAGGTGTTTTTCTGGGTCACGACAATGGAACTTTTATGAGCCAAACGACATATTCTCTCAACGCTACTTCTCCATATTCTATTGGCATTGGTGACTTCAACAAGGACAATCGGATGGATTTAGTCGTCACCAATAATGGCACTGACAATATTGCTGTGCTTCTCGGATATGGCAATGGCACCTTTGTAAACCCGAAAATGTATTCAACTGGATCTTCTTCTTCGATTTACGTTGCCATAGGTGATTTCAACAGAGACGATCGTTTAGATATTTTCGTCATCAATAATGACACGAGCAGCATAGATATCTTACTTGGATATGACGAGTTTTTTCCAAATCAAACTCAATATGCAACTGGCACTTCGTCGGTCTTTGTAGCTATTGGTGATTTTAATAATGACATCGTACTAGACATCGTCGTTACCAATTATGATGAAAACACTGTAAGCATCCTTCTCGGATATAGCAATGGATCTTTTGCAGAACAAGTAAAATATTTCACTGGCACCAAACCATATTGTGTAGCTGTTGGTGATTTTAATAACGACGCCCAACTGGATATTACTGTCAGTAATTATCGGAGTCACAATATAAGTGTATTTCTCGGATATGGAAATGGCTCTTTTGCAAATCAAACGACATATTCTACCGGTACTTATCCGTATGGTTTAGCTGTCAATGATTTTAACAACGACACTCGACTGGATATTGTCGTCACTAGTTATGCTGACAATACTGTAAGCGTACTTCTCGGTTATGGCAATGGTTCTTTTGCAAATCGAATGGCATATTCAGCTGGCATTACTCCATTCGATGTAGCTGTTGGTGACTTTAACAACGACACTCTATTGGACATTGTCGTCACTAATTCTGATAGCAACACTGTAAGTGTACTTCTAGGATATGGTAACGGCTCTTTTGCAAATCGAGTAGCATATTCAACTGGCACTAATCCAGTATTTGTAGCTGTGGCTGATTTTAACAATGATTCCTATTTAGATATCGCCGTCACTAATTTGGATGACAATACGATAAGTGTACTTCTCGGATATGGTGATGGGTCTTTTGCAATGCAAATGACATTTTCAACTGGCGACTTGCCATTCGGTTTAGCTGTCGGCAATTTCAATAACGACACCCGACTAGATATTATTGTAAGTAATTCTGGAAATAATACCATAGGTCTATTCGTTGGATATGGTAATGGCTCCTTTGCAAGTCAAAAGACATATTCCACCGGTGCTTATCCATTCGGTTTAGCTGTCAGTGACTTTAACAACGATACTCGATCGGATATCGCCGTCACTAATTATAATGATAACACTGTTGGTGTTCTGCTCCGTTATGACAGAGGAGCTATGAAAAACGAAATTACATTTACTCCCAGTGCTGCTGCTCATTTGGCATGCATTGCCATTTCTGATTTCAATAACGATAGTCTATTGGATATTGTCGTTGCTAATTATGGTAGTAATAACCTAGGTGTCAGTCTTGGATATGGAAATGGCACCTTTGGAAATGAAATGGTATTCTCAACAGGATTAAAATCTTATCCTTACTCAATTGCAATTAATGACTTCAATAAAGACGGTCAAGTGGATATTGCAGTAGTCAATCGTGGTACTAAAAGTCTTAGTACATTTCTGGGAAAGGGGAACGGAACGTTTGAAAATCAAGCAAATTATAGCACTAGTTTCGATTTTGCTCCATTGGCTGTTGGTGTTGGTGATTTCAATAGCGATGGACATTCGGAAATTGTTGTTGCATATGATGATACTGATAATTTGGATGTATTTGTTATATATGACATCGGAGATTTTTCTCATCGAACGACATATTCAACTGACCCTTGGCCAAGCTCTGTTGTCTTTGGTGATTTTAATAACGATACTCGACTGGATATGGTTGTCAGTACTAAGAATTACAATAATGTAATTGTATATCTTGGATATGGTAATGGCTCTTTTGCAGATCGAATGACATATTCAGTTGGCAATTACCCAAACTCTGCAGCTGTTGGTGATTTTAATAACGACGACCGACCGGATATCATCGTCACTAATTATGTGGACAACACTGTAAGTGTACTTCTTGGATATGGTAATGGCTCGTTTGCAACACATAAGACATCTTCAGCTGGCTATTATCTAGTTGGTGTAGCGATTGGCGATTTTAACAACGACAGCCGACTGGATATCGTCACTGCTAATATTGATACAAATTCGGTAGCTGTACTTCTGGGATATGGCAATGGCTCTTTTGCAAGTCAAGAGTATTATTCAACTGACTCTTGGTCATTCTCTGTAGCTGTAGGTGATTTTAACAATGATACCCGACTGGATATTGTCGTCGCTAATTTTGATAGTGCGTCTATAAGTATACTTCTAGGATATGGCAATGGCTTCTTTGCAAAACAAGTGAAATACTCCACTGGTACTGCACCAATATGGATAGTTGTCAGTGATGTTAACAACGACAACCGACTAGATGTCGTCGTCACTAATCGTGACGACAACACTGTAAGTGTACTTCTCGGACATGGTAATGGCTCTTTTGCAAGTCAAACAACATATTCAACTGATATTGGGCCACTCTACGTAGATGTTGGTGATTTAAATAATGATACTCGACTAGACATTGTTACTGCTAATTATCATGACAACACTGTAAGTGTGCTTCTAGGATATGGCAATGGCTTTTTTGCAAATCAAACGACATATTCAATTGGCACTACTCCAATATGTGTAGCTCTTGCTGATTTGAATAATGACGGCCGACTGGATATCGTCTCCCCTAATGATTTCAGTAGAAGTGTAAGTGTACTGCTAGGGTATTCCAATCAAGCTTTTGTAAAACAAACGACACTCATAACTGGCAATGGATCTCGACCAATGTCATTCGCTACTGGGGATTTTAACAGTGATAATAAACTGGATATAGCAGTCGCGAATTCAGGTGCTAACACCATGGGCGTTTTTTTTGGGATATGGCAATGGCTCCTTCGCAAATCAAATAGCATTTTCAACTGGCTCTACTCCAATATCTATTGCTATTGGCGATTTCAACAACGATACCATATTGGATATCGTCGTTGCTAATTATGGCAATGACACGGTTGGAGTATTTTTTGGATACAATAATGGCTCTTTCTCAAGTCAAAAGACGTTTACGACGGGCTCCGCATCTTTACCCTGCATGGTTGCTGTTGGTGATTTCAACAATGACACTTTACTAGACATTATCGTTGCTAATTATGGCACCAACAATGTAGGTGTACTGCTTGGATATGGGGATGGTTTCTTTGCAGATGTAAAGTTCTTTTCGACCGATTATGGATCTCGTCCATTCTCGGTTTCTATTGATGATTTTAACAATGATGGAAAGCTAGATTTCGCAGTCGCTAACAAAGGTGCTGACAATTTAAAAATTTTCTTACAAACTTGTTAATGTTGAAGCTTCTGACTTGCGTTTTTTTTTCTTCTATTCACTGTTTCTAACTTCTATTTAGTGCTACTAATATTTCTTGTGAGTTCTTTTTTTTTACTAATTATCTCTTGATTTATATATTCATATAAACTATGAGTGAGCGTTGAGAAGTGAAACAAAATGTGATGCGTTCCCATCTTGCTTGACAGTCCCATGAGATAGTTTTGACTTCATATCTTCTTTTTATGTTAATTCACGAAAATAGAATACCGAGACAGTTAATGAGATAGGTATGCGATGAGATGTGTTTGAATAGACATCATGATTTAAATTTATGCGGATGTTATGTACTGAAAAGAGTGATTAGTAATGCAATGAAATAAGCAACAAGAAGATCGTTCGTACACATATGAAACAAGAAAGAAAGTTTGTTTGTTTCTATTCAAAAGAAAAAAGCGAACCAATCTTGAAACGAAATGAGACAGAAAAAACAAAGCGTAACTGTATGATAAATATAAAAATAAAAGAACTACTATGGTCTAGATTTTCTCTCTCCTACAAGAATCATGAGATCACACATAATTCTATATGATTTTGAAAAAACATCAGAATAAGAATATATTCTGTTATATATCCATAAATGAAGTGTATATGATGATAATTTCAATGCATGAAAGTATGAACAGCTGTTGTAGTGAATGCAGAAATTACGATGTCGCTCTTGTAAAGGGATGGGATATGTGGATTGATAAAGAAAAGATCGATATACCTGCACACACAATCACGCCCTACAAGCTAAGTCTCAGAGAATAATTCATCATTTGCACCAAATATCTATTAAACTCACTACCAGTAATCGACACCAGACACAGACAAACTCACAAGATATTCTCAATGGAACTTATTATTCAACGCTTTGTCATTTATCGATTCAATCAAAGTTCTCTTAGAAAGTTTGATTAAAACGCAAATCTAAAGATTATAATTTCTAGATAAAGTGCTCTTTCGTTCAGAAACGCTGGTACAAGTCGATCTATTGATGATTAATTTGGAATGCGGGTGTGATAAAGGTGCAACAGCGATGGAGATAGCTGTCAATGTTGTCCGTTCACGACCGCTCATCTCAAACTGCATGAAATAGACTCTCAAATATCTTCATCATAAATTCACTATTACGTTTTAATAGTCTAAATATGCCTCTCTTCCTTACACGGATATGGTCTACTGGCTAGATGGAAAGCAAACATAGCATACGTAATTTATCAAAAGGTAAAAGAGATCCCAAACGAAAAAGATCAACTTGATCCATTATTAAAATGAATCGTAGCTCAAATATGAATATTCCTGATTTGTGATATGGAAAATACCAGTGGACTTGGTAGAATCGAGCGCATCTAGCACATAAAATGAATAACTTCAAGAAACATACGTATAAAACTTGCGAACGTGATTCAATTGAAAAGAAAATTTTTACTTCGAATATTCATCTATTTAAACTCAATTTCTACGTTCCTGTTCATACGATGAGATTCAGTTCTTTCTGCTTACTTCATATCTTGAAGTTGAAATTCAAAAGTCAAACTTCATATTGACATTTAACTTTCAAGTTATTGTTGTCAATCAAGTATTTCATGAAATAAATCCTAATGAGTTCTCGTCTTGTATATTCATCTCTAAATTATTAGTGAATCCACAGCCATCTAAGTCTACATGAAGAATTTGTTTTTTCTCATAACTGAGCATGCAGATGTCAGATGGTCTCACAAACACTGCAAGAGGGTGGGTGTGGGCGAAAAGAAGAAACTCATACCCACACCTACATTTCAGAAGAATTAATTAAAAAAGGATAACTTTTCAATCTAATTTTCAGATTAAATTACTATTTACTCTTATCTAGCATCATCTTGTATTCAAATGTATACTTGTTACAAACCTAAAAATTAAGAAATACTCAATAACTTAACATTTCAAAAGTCTAACCACAAAAGCAAACCCTAAACTTTAAGGTTCTTAAAACTATATAGCTTGAAAATTTCTGATGATTAGCAACGGATACGAATTGTCATATCATCTAAAATCAATCTTAATGATAATATCTAAATGCCTTCCACTTTTAGTGTTTCTATTTTATTCTTCACACATCGACGTAAGTTATGAGCAACACATAACGCAATAAAATCAATACTCAACTGATTCTGCTGCCACTGCAACTTTTATGAAGTGTGTAAGTTAGAACAAACAATCTAATAATAAGATCCTCTTTTTTCTGGAATCCTGAGGCATGTATTATGACAAAAATTTGAAGTCTTCAAGCCAGACAGATCTTAAACAGTATAGTAAAAGTTCTTCTTGATCCAAAATTGAACACTTTTGGTTTCTACAAGATATTGAAACCAAACGGCGTAAAAATAGCTCTTTTTCTAATCCTTTTTTTCGAACATGATAGGTTCGATCAAACGAGAATTTGTGTATCGTATAATAGGTCTTAACAGGGTAGCTTGTTTCTTTTTATATTGCTTGATTCAAATAAGAAAGTTAAACTACTTAGCGTACTCTAAAAAGCGCACATTTTTTGACTATAGACGATTCTGTAAAGAAGTCATAAAAAAAGGTAAAGGTCAGAGTTCCTTCGATAAAGTTGTTTTTCAGTAAAACAAGAAAGTATAGAAAATTTTCCAGTCTTTTAATGTGTATAATCTTATGACTTATCTGCCTTTCTTTTGAGACATCAAAAATGGAGTTTGAATTTCTAAAAAAAGGCTCAC